ATGGTCAATTGGTCAATTACAATCATGTAATGGTCAATTGGTCCTCTTATGTATGTAAAAGGAAGTATGTGGGTTCTCAGTCCAGATAGCCATAGGTATTTGCGTATGGGTGAGAGAATAATTATTTCTTCCTCCATTGGCTTCATTTCTGACCTCCAGCCAATCCTGTGTAAGTTAAAAGAAGAAGGAAAACATTGCAGCCAATGAGTTACTTTTAATTTTCTCCTAAGGAATTAATGCTTCCAATACTGTGAATGATAGATCTAATCTGGAAATGTATCCTAGCATAAATAAAAATATGTGTCCGTCTGTTAAGAAATATAGGAACTAAGGATAGCATGCCCAATGCGATCATGGTATTGCCTAATGCTCATAAATTAGTATAAATAAAGATTTATTTGATGTGATTTTTAAAAATTGGGTATATTAAGGTACAAAATTGTCCTGAATAGCTATATAATTCGTCATACAATTTGGATGGATTTGCATGGCACAGTTCACTGTAGCCTTGGTTTAAAATGCCATATTTATTTCCCAGTATGCTTGAAAAGGCTTCCTTAGTACAAGTTTTACTAAATAATTCCTCAGTTGACTGCTGTTATATATTCATTTGTGCTTCTTGACTGATGCAATATACAGGCAGTTCTCAATTTATGACCACAGTGGGTCCCAGCATTTATGTTGCTAAGCAAGGCAGTTGTTAAGTGAGTTGTGCACCATTTATAATGTTTTTTTTGACTCAGTCGCTAAGTGAATCACTGCAGTTTTTAGGTGAAGCAGGCAATAGTTAAGCGAAGAAGCAGGCTTCATTAATTTTTGCTTATTGGAAGCTGGCTGGGAAAGTTACCAATGGTGTTCACATGACAGCACAGCTGTAATAAACACGTGCCAGTTGTCGAAGACCTGAATTTTGATCACATCACCATGGGGATGTGAAAACCAGTCATGCCATTTTTTCAGTGCCGTTGTGACTTCAAACAGTCACTAAATGAATGATTGCAACTTGACGGCAATTGCTTTAAATTAACATACTTCTGATTGAACCTTGCAGATTATATTAAACAAAGCATGTTCAAAACAGCAACTGCTGATACTTTTGAAAAGTAAATGGGTAGCATCGTGGGTCTTGTAGCACTGCATGGATTCTGCTTAAACTTCACGTAGCATAATCTGAATAAATTTCAATGTTTTTTAGGGCCCTGCCGGTCCTCATGGGCCAGTCGGCTATCCTGGTCCCCGTGGTGTCAAGGTATGGATAACATTATGTTTTTATTTGATAAACAATCAACTTGGCATTAATTTTTTGCTAATCTGGTCCCTTGGCCATTGTCATCGGTATTTTCTCGTAGGGTGCTGATGGCGTCCGAGGGCTGAAGGGAGGCAAAGGTGAAAAGGTAATATGTTAATTGTTTTTTTATATATATTCTATTGCAAAAAAAATCCCAATTAAATGGGAAAATTTAAGTGAAAATAATCTCTATTACATTTAGGTGCAAAATTATTATACGGTGGCTGAGAAATCACCGTAGTGGCAGANAACAAACAGATAAGGACCTTGGCAGCAACTCAGACAAACCTTGGCAGCAATCCAGCCTGCCAAGATAGTTACAAAAGTTCTCCAACTTTTAGTCAATGCGTTGACTTCTGCAAGAGGGGCGTGTGCACAAGCAGTCTTTTTATAGTCTGGAGAGGAGTCTAATGACAACCAGCTGAGTGCAATTACCTCCTGTACTTGTGCAAATGTTCCTGATGGCTATTAGCTCTTCGTTGCCGGACATCCAGGAACAACTCACTGCTGGCATCCGGATCACTCTCCCTTGTCTCCTCCCCACTGGTCCAAGGATCAGATGCCTCCTGGTGGCCAACCAGCCTCTCTGTGCCCTGCTCAGAGTCGGAACCCTGTCCTGGGTCCTCCACATCCTCCAGAGCCAACTCATAGGGCCACTCGCTGTTGGAGTCTGGGGGCAGCTCCAACGGCTCCTGCTGGGCCACAACAGTAAACTTTGTTTATTTTGAGGAATGTTCTCTAATAAATCTTCTTAAAGATCTTTATTGTGGTGTTTTCCTGCATGCTGTTTATGTTGAAATGTTCCAAAATCACCCTTTCTTCCCCCATGGCTTACTCCGAGCAGGTCTCATGTATGCCATCTTTCATAAATGTGTTTTCTGATCCTCACAAATTCAGTATCTATGGTATAGATGGACAGACAGACAGACAAATAGATCAATCTATGGATAGGTGGACAGCTACAAATCAATACGTATGATGGCTACCTATAGATGCTACCAGTAGTTACAATATGGAAATATTTTAAAAAAATAAATGAAAAATTAATGCTTGTTTTTTTTTTTTTTAATTATAGGGTAAACTTGGTGTTCCCGGTTTGCCAGGATATCCAGGAAGACAAGGCCCTAAGGTAAATTTGCTACAGCTTTGGGGAGGTATATGTAATTTATGATTTAATAGTACGTGCACATTTGTTTAATGAATGGATGTGTATGTGTTTGTTATTGATAATTGATCCAGTTGGGAATTATAAAACACCCTTACTGCTATCTAAACATTACATTCATTACATACTGTTCTTCTAATGCAGAAGTGTCAAACTTGATTTCACGGAGGGCCACATCAGGGTCGTGTTTGACATTAGTGGGCTGGGATGGAAATTACATTACAGAAAAATTTAAATCTTTTTTATTTCTGAAAAAAACCTCACACGTAATAAACCATAAAAATATAACAATATAGATGGATAGTATATATGCTCCAGTAGGTGTCTATTCCTAACCACCATGATGTGATGCAAACACATCACATTTTTTTTTAACTTGTGCCACAGTGTCATACACACATTCCATCACTTACTCCCTTTCTATAGATCGGTGTTTCTCAACCTTGATGACTTTAAGTCCTGTGGACTTCGATTCCCAGAATCCCCCAGCCAACGGACTGGGGAATTCTGGGAGTTGAAATCCACAGGACTTAAAGTCGCCAAGGTTGAGAAACACTGCTATAGACACTAGTCTTCTAACAATTCCAAAAACTAAAAAAATTATGGAATTAAAATCCATGATATAATATTCTGGGAACCTCTGTTCTCTGTTTTTTGCGTGTGTATTTATAAAAATTAAGTATGTTGAGTTTGTGCTTTACAGTCAAATTAGAGTAATGGCCCTCATCTACTTCTACTCCTGTGTCTTCTTCCCATGAATGGTAGCTTGACATGTCATTGTTTTCAAAATAAATAAATAAGCTTACTGTTAATTCTTTATTGCATTCTGGACTTGAACAATTATGGTAAGTAACTGAAAACTGTTAATATCTATATTCATATTTGGATTGTGTGACTTAAAGAATATATATTGCAAAAATATATACTTTATGTTACTTAAATATAGTATATAATAAAAAAAAAGTTGTTATCCTGAAGTTCCAGGTTAAATTCTTGGAATAATCAAGATAAGACATTTCTGTCTCAAATTTTAGAGAACAGCAATGGAGATGTTGAATAAATAGACAAATAGGTTGACTGGATGCAAGACAGCATTCTATGTTCTACCATCTATGCTTCCAATGGTCTCCCCCAAGTATAAAAAAGAAAGAAACAGTTTTGAGTTCTGCTGAACGCATTTGCTATTAAAAACACTGGGTTTAGTTTAAAGAAATTTTGTGTAATCGAATGGACAGTAGAAAGTTTCATCAAAAATGTAATCATCTTCAGGATACAATATTAAAATCTATCAAAAGTATAAAGCGTGAAGGGCTTACTAAGTATTTATATAGATTAAAAGTACGTTTATAATTTTTTGTGCAGGGATCTACTGGGTTTCCTGGATTTTCAGGTTCTAATGGAGAGAAAGGAGGAAGGGTAAGTCACAGCATTTTACCTATATAGTTATGAATATGAGGAATTTGAATTTGATAACATACAGATTGGAATATATAGTATTATAAAAAATTTATGTTGGATGGTGTTCAAACTAAAGGGAAAAAAATGAAATGATAGCAATTCAGGAGTATCAAGGCTTTTTAAATAAAAATCAATGCTGTACATATCCGTTACGGCTACAATTTAAGCAATGTGAAGCCCTATTATACACAAATGCAGCTTCCCATTAAAACATACTGCTTAATGATATGCCATGACACATTTTGGACAGAGTACACAAGCATAGACAATCAGGGTTATTATTTTTTTCTCCTATAGCTGGCTAGTGAAAGGGAGATTGATTAATTGATTGGTATGTTTGATATAATTGCATACAAATGTCTCTGGATGGTTTACAAGAATTACCGTATTTTTCAGAGTACAAGACACACTTTTTTTCCCTCAAAAAAGAGGGTGAAAATCTGAGTGTGTCTTATACACTGAATACAGCATTTTTGGCCTCCTGAAACCCCAGCCCTTTCACCAAAATGGCCATGCATAGCCTTTAGGAGGCTTCCAGAGTGTTCCTAGGGGCTGGGGAAGACAGAAATGAGGGGAAAATGGGCCACTTTTTGCTCGTCCCCTCCCCCTGCAGTCCTCAGGAGTGCTCTATAAGCCTCCCAAAGGCTATGCATGCCCTTTTTTTGACAAGAAATTGGCCTGTTTTCATGAAAAACGGACCATTTTTGGGAGGTCTGCAGAGTGTAAAAACTTTTTTAAAATTTGCCTCTTTAAAATCTTGGTGCAGATTCTGGTGTGTCGTATACTCTGAAAAATATGGTAAAACACAGAAATACCCATACGAGCCAAGGTGGCGCAGTGGTTAGGGTGCAGTACTGCAGGCCACTTCAGCTGACTGCTATCTGCAGTTCAGCGGTTCAAATCTCACCGGCTCAAGGTTGACTCAGCCGTCCATCCTTCCGAGGTGGGTGAAATGAGGACCCAGACTGTNCTCCCACAGAAAATGTGCTAATTGTTTACGAATGAGAGAGAGAGTTGAACACAACATATTGGTAAATATGTTTTAATAGTGATATAAATGTTGTAGATAATTATTATTAAGCCAATTTGCTTGGTGTTTTCAATTATTTTTATATGTGGGACTTATCACAATATGGCTACTGGAAAATCAAATAAAATAATAGCAAAAGAGCAGCCTCCAGGGTTAGAAAGTTAGGCTTTTCCATGTAGATCAATGGTCTTTTATGAGCTACTTACTGTATGTAGGACAATTGGAATAATTTGTAGGGACAAAGCTAAAGTTCCTGACTACTTTGATGTGATGCATAAGGAAAGTTCCATTCCTTTAATTAATTAATGGCCAATAATTCTAGCATCATTATTGCTGGGAACTGCATTTCCCAGGATTCCTGATTTTTGAGACATTATTTATAGCAGCTATAATTGCATTAAAGACTACGAGGCTGTATGAACATGATAAAAATGTCGGAAACAGTAATGGACAAAACTTTTCATACTCGACAATATTTGCATTTTCCTCCTAAAGATCGATTGGTCTACACTGCTGGAGAGCAATAATCATTTGCTAAATATATATATATTTTTTTAACTTTACAAAATTTGATATGCATTTTTTTTTGTACTCAGGAACATTCATAAAATTTAACGTGCCGTTTATTTAAATTTACCTCTTAGTTTGATCTGAGAACTGCTTGGCAAAATTCAGAGAAGTAAAATAAAAGAGAGAGAGAGAGAGAAATTTATGTTCTAATTTGGGAGATACTAATTGTGTCTGGTAGTATTCAAATGTGAACTCATAGAAAACAGCCTACTAAGGAATCCTAGAAAATATTTGCCAGGGCTCATAATACCATTGATTTATGACAGAAGCATTCCAATGTTTGGTCCCAATGATTCCTGGTTCATCCACCAGCATCAGAAAACGTAACATAAACAAGAGAGAAACGAAGACTGTCAACAGAACTAACCCATTCTGAATTAGATCAAATGCTGGAATTCATTGACTGGACAGCTTGGAATTTCTTTTTTTTTAACTTTAGAGGTGCATATTAGCTGTGGTTACTGCATCATTGCAACAAGTAAAATATGGCTATGTGAATCAGCCTTTAATCAGTAGTAGTATCTTCGGGTTATAGTCCAATCAACTTTTGAACATGAAATATCTGATGGGAAACATTCCCAACACTTTTAAAGCTGGAAATATAAGGAGGAAATTTAATAAGGAAAAGTAATGTTATAATGAAGAGCTCATTGACAAATTAAGAAATGAATGCTCCTATTGCCTTAAGGACCTTTCTCATTATTCATTCTTCTTTTTTTAAAAACCTGAAAAGTAATTCAACTCAGCTGTGACTTTTTTCCCCCATGTAGAAATTGCCATATTGCAGTAATTTGGTGTATTATGATCCAGCTTTAGTAATGTAAATTATTATGACTTACAGCAAAATAGCTGTTATGCCAGTCTACGATTATATATATATATATATAAAAAGCCTTGATTCAAAAATGGCTGTGGTTGTCATATGCATTATATTAATTTATCCAAATTCTTTAGCAATTTCCATTCTGATTTCTTAAGGAAGTCTGTTATATTTCCCTTTCTCACTACAAAAAAACATAGGGTGAAGATGGCTTCCCTGGATTTAAAGGTGATATGGGCCTTAAGGGCGATAGAGTAAGTATTACTTTAAAACCTCTTTAGATCTATTGAAGAATTGTACTTAAATTGATGTTCTGACCTCCTCCTCCATCCAGTAACGAATGCCGAGACAAGCTTAATTAGAATGTCCTTTAATAACAAGACCAGAATCTCGGTGGCTGAAAGCCAAGTAAACAAACAGATAAGGACCTTGGCAGCAATTCAGACAAACTCTGGCAGCAATCCAGCCTGCCAAGTTCGTTTCTCTTTAGTCAAAGCATTGATGTCTGTAAGAAGGGCGTGGCACAAGCAGTCTTTTTTATAGTCTGGAGAGGAGCCTAATGACCACCAGTTGAGCGTAATTACCTCCTGTAATGACATAGTTGTTCTTGACGCCGAGTAGCTCTTTGATGGCATGCATCCCGGAAAACTCACTGTTGGTTTCTGGATCACTCTCCCTTGCCTCCTTCCCACTGATTCAAGGCTCAGGCGCCACCTGGTGGCCCAACCAGTCTCTCTGCGCCCTGCTCGGAGTTGGAACCCTGTCCAAGGTCCTCCACATCCTCCAGGGCCGACTCATAGGGCCCCTCGCTGTCAGAGTCTGGTGGCAGTTCCAATGGCTCCTGCTGGGCCACAACAAATTGGTAAAGGGAATTTTCATTATCATTTTCATCCACTCAGAAGGGTTTTTTTTAGTCTCAGTTGAACACGTAGAGATCTTCATTAATGAAAACTACTGTGCTATAGTTATGATTGATTCTTCTGAAGTCTTTTCTGTTTTCCCAAAAGGAAAGGCAAGTTGATTATATTATATTTTTAATAATTAGTTTTTATGTTGCTCTGGTCATTGACTGACTAAGGAATTGACTATCCCGCCATGTGTAAATAGGTGTAAAGCAACACAATAACTAACAAACTTTAACATCCATGAATTTAATACAATATAGCAGACTATTCCTATGGTAAGGAAGTGTACAAATCTATTCAGTCATATTCTATACAAGAGGATTCTTTTAATTCACCTTCTTTCAAAGGCCCATGAATCCCAGCAGAGGTATTCTTTAATTTATGACCATAATTGGATTTTGGTCACTAGGCAATGTAGTTGTTAAGCGAGTCATCTTGAGACCTGATTTTATGATCATTTTACCTCAGATGTTAAGCAAATCACCTGGTTGTTAAGTGAATCATGTGGTTGTTAAGCAGATTCAGTTTCCCCAATTGACTTTCTTGGCGGGAGCCATCAGGGTTTAAGCTCATAAATCACAGTCCCATGATACAAGATGTGACAACCATTGTAAATGCATGGCTGTCAGATGCCCAAATTGTGATCACATGACTTTAGGGGTGGTGTGACAGTCAAAACTTTGAGGATTGGTTGTAATTCAGTTTTTCCATGGCTGTCGTAACTTTGAAATGTCATCAAACAAACAGTTATAAATCAAGGACTACCTAGATTGTTGGGCTACTTCAATGCCCAGAGAAGACCCTTGCCATCAAGAACTTCTAGGTGACAGTGTTTAGGAGAAGGAACTTGAAGGCATGTGATCTTTGCTAGCAAAACAATGGTTTAAGCTTTGTACTAGAACTTCCTGTCCTCGCCACCCCTACCTAGTAGATTGATGAGAGCTTTTAGTAATCTCTACTGTTTTACTGCAAAACTTTACGAAATGTCCAAAGATACCCTTGCCTTTTGAGAACTTTTCTTAAGAGGTGTATTTTATGGGGCTGCATGGGTTCTGATTTTTATAATCTGAGGATGAGTTAAAGCTTTTCATTAAAGCTTTATTTATGCTTTATTAATCATTGAATTTTGATTAATACTGGTATTTACTGTTTAATTGTTCCACGTTGTCTCACCTTGGCTGGAAGGTAACCTTAAAGTAATTTAAATTGTAAATTAACAACATACAGTAGTAGAAACATTGTACGTGCATTTTTGTATGCTACTCCTGCAATAGCATTTAGTGTTCTCCAGACATTTATGATTCTCATTATTGGTATGAATGTGTCAGCTTTTGTACTATTTTGACAGATCTCAAATTGCTTGTTGCTGCTTCTTACTATGGTAGAGTCATTTTATGAAAATCTCAAAACCGCCCAAAACTTTATAACAAAATAAAGCAATTGATTTTCTTTTATTCAGAATTGTTAATGTAGTACAGAAGCGGTGTCTCAATATAGTACAGAAGCTGATATTTTATCAAAGTTCCATGCAGTTTGATACTATCGAGCAAGAACATTTTCTACGCCATCTGCATTTATTGAATTTTATTTTGTATAAAATGGATCAAGGTGATTTTTAAGATGGGTCAGGTTTGAATAATACTTATTAAATTTATTCAAAATAAATTGAAACCACTGCCAAGATTAATAACAATAACAATAGCACTTATGGTAGACTTGGATACCACTTCGCAGCGCTTTTCAGCTCTCTTTAAGTGGTTTACGGAGTCAGCATATTGCCCTCAACAATCTGGATCCTCATTTTACTGCGCTCGGAAGGATGGAAGGCTAACTCGAGCCGAGGTGGCGCAGTGGTTAAATGCAGCACTGCAGGCTACTTCAGCTGACTGCAGTTCAGCAGTTCTAATCTCACCGGCTCAGGGTTGACTCAGCCTTCCATCCTTCCGAGGTGGGTGAAATGAGGACCCGGATTGTTGTTGGGGGCGATATGCGGACTCTGTAAACCGCTTAGAGAGGGCTGAAAGCCCTATGAAGCGGTATATAACTGCTATAAGTCTAACTGCTATTGCTAACTCAACCTTGAAATAATCAGAACTCCTGGCAGTCAGAAGAATTAGATTGCAATACTGCATTCTAACCACTCCACCACCATGGCTCAGGTGATAAATCCTGAGTGATCTGGAACAAAAAGGTTTTACAGAAGAAGAAAAAAAACTGAATGGAGATTTCTTCCTGTATCACAGTTGGCTCTAATTAGTAGTGTCAACCTTTCTGATTTTATCCAGAACAACTAATGAGGATGCTGAATAATCAAGTTATACAGTGGTGGGTTTCAAAAAATTTTGGAACCTCTTCTGTAGGTGTGGCCTGCTTTCCGGGTCCACTGGTGGAACCTCTTCTAACCGGTTCGGTAGATTTGACGAACCGGTTCTACCGAACCGAAGCGAACTGGTAGGAACCCACCTCTGAAGTTATAGAAAAGAAAGAAAAGGGATGCCAACTTTTTTGCTCTCTGGGGTGGCTCCTTAGCTATTGTCTTTAGAAAGTTTTAGGAGGAACTTAGCTTGAGAGAATTAGTAGGTGGGCTTTAATTAGTGTTCAGAGGGGGGTTTTTTGTTTTTGTTTTATCGTGGAGACAGGCGGTTAATTTTTTATTTTTTTTATTTACACAATATTTTTAAGGGTGAAGTTGGTGCTATTGGTCCCCGAGGAGAAGATGGCCCTGAAGGTCCCAAAGGGCGCGCAGGTCCCACAGGAGACTCAGGTGGCCCTGGCCAAGCTGGAGAAAAGGTGAGTAATGGTTGGATATTTCTATTATGAGAATTGATTGGCCCAATAGTAGCAAGAATGTGACGGAAATAATTGAAACACAAAAGCCATATGGAATCGTGTATGTAGACTGTTCTGACCCTCCTCGTTCCACACTCAAGCACACTCCGAGCCAGAGATAAATTACAGCATTTAATTAACAGACAAACAGGTCCTTGGCAGCAAACTGGCACAGACAAGCTTGGGCAGCAATAAACACAGATAAGGCTTGGCAGCAATCCAGCCTGCCAAGCTCACAATAATGTTCTCCGACATTCGATTCTGTGTTGACTTCTGCAAAGAGGGGCGTGTGCACAAGTAGCTTTTTATAGTCTGGAGAGGAGCCTAATGACCACCAGCTGAGTGCAATCACCTCCTGTAATTGTGTAATTGTTCCTGACGCCTAGTAGCTCTTCGATGGCGTGCATCCAGGAACAACTCACTAATGGCGTCTGGCTCACACTCCCTTGTCTCCTCCCCACTGGTCCAAGGCTCAGGTGCCTCCTGGTGGCCAACCAGTCTCTCTGCACCCTGCTCGGAGTCGGAACCCTGTCCAGGGTCCTCCACATCCTCCAGAGCCGACTCAGCGAGCCCCTCGCTGTCAGAGTCTGGTGGCAGCTCCAACGGCACCTGCTGGGCCACAACAGTAGACCATGTGGGGACCTCAGATTTGTCATATGTTTGGAGTTATGAGAACCTATATCACATGAGTCCCTTTTTTCCATAAGGGGGGAAAAACAATTCACGTTTTTACATAATGACTGTGATGTCAGTGGAAGGTGTAAAGTGGAAAACCAAATCTCTCACTTAAAACCACAGTTTCTTATCAAGGAAGGAAAAGAAGAACCACAGTTCATTAACAATGGTAGAGCAATGGACCAAGAATAGTCTGTAGCGTCTCCTCAATACTTTGTTTCACTTTCTGAAATAGTCCCTTAATTGACTATTCCACGATTGTGTTTCTGCATCTAATGTCTGTATATTTAGGCAAATTCTTTCACCTTTCCCAAATTACTTCCAGGTGTCCGTTCTCTCTACTTGGGGTGTAGATAGCCATTCATTTAACTGCATTTCTGCTTGATTGCATCGGTGATCTGATCAAAGACAGGCTTGTTTATAAGAATCTTTTGAATGGTTCTCCCCAGGTGATCCCGTTTCCATGAAAAAAAAGAGAAAGGAAGGTTATAATTTGATGCTAGAGAGCTTTATAAGCTGTCATAAAAAATACTTTCAAAGTCAGATCATTCATTCCAGAAAATATTCCTTTCAGCTTGACTTAACTGTTGGGAGCTATTTGGAATTAATGATCCTTATAATGTTTCAAGACATCTTGCCAGCTGTTTAAAAGGTCATGAATAAAGAACACCACTATTATAATTATGGATAAATGGTAGCATAATTGGAAAGTTATCACTAAGTTCCCATTAAATTCCGATTCCATAAAAAAAAAAAAACAGGAATATACGAAACTCGCTTTCTCCCACAACCTAAATTAATTCCTATTGTGCTACTTTGATAGGGAAGTATTACGATAGGTATAGAATTCGACTAAAAGGAGAGTGGGCAGAAAAAAAAAGAAGGCAGAGTTAGTGCAATTTTGCAAAGGTTTACATGAGTGTATCTTTACGTGAAGTTGTTACAGGTTTGTTATAGAGCAATCTACATCTTCCTCCACAGTTTGTGCAGGGATCATAGACGCTTAGATATGAAAGAATCCATTGAGGCCATACACTGCTCAGTGCAAGAATTAAGGTATCTCTGATTGATGTCTATTAAGTATCTCCTTCAAGACATCCAGCTCTTCTACCTCGCGGTGCTGGTAGTTGGTTGTGCTGTCAACTTACTCTTAGTATTAAAAGGTTTTAAGGTTTCTTTTTAACATTAATCTAGAATCTGTACTCTGAATCCCATACTTCGGGTTGATAGAGAGTAAATCTTGGCCTTTTCCTGTGTGACATCCATTCAGTTATTGGCAGTCCATTCTATCGCATCCCTTCTGTCCTTCTTATTAAGGTTAAACCTAACCAGAATTTTTTACATATAGGATTTATCTTGCAGTTCTCTGATTGTCCTCATTATTGTTCCTTGATTGTGTCCCATTTTTTTTTCTGTAATCCTTTAAGTTGTCAAGCTCAGATTTAAACACAAGCTTCAACAGAACTATTATCTTTTTCCTGATTTGAAAATGTTACGACATAACTACTGATTCATCCTAAAAGTATGTTTGCCGTTTTTTGTAAGCAAAACATTTTGCTGTCTCTTGCTCAGTTTGATTATAAATTGAGTAACTAACAATTGCAATGCATTGGTTCATTCAGATCATTGTTCACTACAGGTTGTGGAACGCATATCTGATTATCAAAGAAAACAATCAAAATAAAACCTGCGTAGCTGTACCTTTTTTAAATTATCACTTTGCTTTTAACATTTTATCGAGCAGTTGGTACACTAATTATGTTACTTGCCTTTATTCTGAAATTACACACACAGACACACACACACACACACACAAGACTTCTATTGTTTTTTGCATTCTTTATCAACAAAGGCTTGTGCCGAGCTTTATACCTTCTGAAGCCAGCTCTACAATTTTGGACTACTTGAGCACCAATGACGTGCGGTGAGGTTTATGGCTGGTGAGGCACTGACACAGTGGTGGGTTTCAATTTTTTTTAGACT